GCTTCCCAAGCGGCGCACTATCCAGTGCGCCACCGGGCCGGCCCCCACCATTCTACTTTCTGTCTCTGTGAATTTGCCTATTCTAGGTGCCTCCTATATGAAGGATATTTCTTATTATTTTTTTATTTCTTATTTTATTTTAATTTATTAAATCAATCTTGTTTATCCATTCATCCGTTGATGGACACTTGGGTTGTTTCCACCTTTTGGCTATTGTCAACAATGCTGCGATGAACTTGGGTATATACCATAGCATTTTAAAGATGTGAAGTCTGAGGCACAGAGAAGCTAATTAATTTGCCCAAAGCCAAAGGGGGTGGTGGAACTGGGATTTGAACCCAGGTGGTCTGGCTCCAGATTCTGTGTTCTTAGGTATATGACTTGTAGATTCTCTTAATGAATAGAAAACACAGATTCTCTATACATAAAAAGTGGCTGCTGAGAATAGTCAAGCTGAAGCTGTTTGCACCCTCTAGGGTGGATCCCTAGAGACACGCTGGCATGGGGGTGGAAGGAGGTTCAATAGTGTGTGCTTTAGCATTGCTCGGGACAAACTGAATGTCAACAGAAGAGCAAATAAATTACTTGTGGCCTGTTCATATAGTACAACACTGGAACTCAATGTGTCAATACGGCTAAATCTCACTGCTGAGTAATATACTGTTAAGGAAAAGAAAAGGTAANAACACAGATTCTCTATACATAAAAAGTGGCTGCTGAGAATAGTCAAGCTGAAGCTGTTTGCGCCCTCTAGGGTGGATCCCTAGAGACACGCTGGCATGGGGGTGCAAGGAGGTTCAATAGTGTGTGCTTTAGCACTGCTCGGGACAAACTGAATGTCAACAGAAGAGCAAATAAATTACTTGTGGCCTGTTCATATAGTACAACACTGGAACTCAGTGTGTCAATACGGCTAAATCTCACTGCTGAGTAATATACTGTTAAGGAAAAGAAAAGGTAAGTTGCAGGAGGCCCTAAATAGTCGAATATCATTTATATCATGTTTTATAATATACAAAAAAGCTATAGTTGTTTAGGGATACGGATGTATATAGTAAAAGTATTAAGAAATGCTTAAGGTTAAATAAGCATCAAGCATAGTGTAAATTTACCCCTGGGGAGTCAGGGAGGAGAGGACTGGGTTGTGGAGAGGAACGTAAAGGGTTTCAGTAATATTCGTAACGTTTGTAATGCTTTGTTTTTTCTTTTTCTTTTTTTGGAATGCGTTATTTCTTAATTTGGTGGGTACTGGTATTTACATATTATTTTTAGTACCTTTTTATATGTCTGAAATGCTTTTTACATTTTTGAAGGGCCAGTGGCTAGTGTGCATGCTTACGTGTATACGTGAACTCTGTGTTTTTCATGCAGTCAGCTGTGCCAGTTGGAAGAAGTCTCTCTGAGGAGCTGTGCGGTAAATTGTGCTGGTGACAGAGGAGCAATTGCCAGAGCGTGTCCCAGTATCCTTTCACTGATAGCGCATCCCTGGAGCTGACTTGGGACTTGGTTCTCATGCTAGACACTGCTGGTTGCCCACCGAGCACCCATTCCCCCCGACTCTTCCTAACCACACCTCGGTTTTGCTTGGGGCAGTCTGTGCCCAGCTTTGCCATATTTTGCTTATGCCCACGACTAAAAATGTAGGATGTATGTTAAAAAATCACCAACGCAAATCAAATAGACTTTTTCTAACATTAAAAGGACTTTTCCCAGTTCTTTAAGTCTGCCTTATCTCTATGTAGTAATTTATGCAAAACATAGTAGTTTGTGATTACTTTCATCTGACTGAAAAGATGCCACATGAAGTGGCTCTCCTTAGCAAAATGCCCCGACGATGTGGTGCTGGAGTTCAGAGCAGAGCTCCCCAGCCCCTGTGCCTCCATCAGTCAGCCTGGGAACAGCCTGGGGGACTGCTGGGACCCAGGGCTGCTGGAGCATCAGTCATCTGCCCGGAGCAGCCCCCTCATTGACCCCCTCGTTGACCTCACGTGGTGAGGCAGCTGGAGCTGGGGGAGGCAGCTGGAGCTGGGGGAACGGAAGGAGAAGTGGAGAGGAATTTGGTAAGGAGCAAAATGCCACAGAAGTTTCTGGGGCATCCTGTAGTTTGCCTGAACTACTCCGGAATGATTGCAGAAGATTGGGAATTGGGTAGTTCAAGGCTGTTTGGTTGATGGGAATGGTCGGCCGTGAACAGGAGGACCAGTGTCATGCTCATTTATACGGCCCCTTCCTGGGGAACGGGTCCCCAAGATGTGGAGAAACGGGGTTGCATGGTCTAAGTAAGCCATGGTCGGTGTTGCAGATGCAGCCATGAGTGTCTCGTGGTTTCTGACTGAGCTCCTGCTGGAAGCTGAAGCATCGAGTAACCCAGTCATCCCTTGGGGTCACTGCCTTTGAGGTCGATCAGTTGAGTGGGACCAAGGCTGAGGGGGTGCTGGAGACCTGATGGTGGGAGGCAGGAGGGTGCCACCGGCTGGCTGTGAGCGGGACAGAGGCTGTGGCCTTGAAGTGAGGGCCATGGCCCCGGCGCCTTCAGCTCTGGGCATGAGCATGTGTGCCACGCCACGACTGTGCTCAGGGCTGGTCGCAGGGGGTAGATGGTCTCTGTACTCTGTGCAGACGAGGAAGACAGAACTCAGCTCACACACTGGGGAGTGTGATGAGAGGAGAGTTGGGGCGTTAAGGCTTTCTAGCCAGCCCCTGGCTGGAGTTAGCCGGACTGGTGGACGTGGACTGTGAGGCAAGGAGAGCCCCCAGCGCAGTGGCCTGAGCAAGGTGGACAGCAGCTGCCAAGAGCATGGGGCAGCAGCTGCAGGAGCAGCTCCCGTGTGGATGCGACCCTGCCCTGGGAGCCAGCAGCAGGTGTGCTCTGGTCAGAGCGGCAGCCCGGGCACTGGGACAGGTTCGCTGTGCCTGGCACCCTGGGCGCCTGCACCTGCAACTCTGCCTTCTGTTGGATGCCACGTTTCTGGGTGGCTGTTACTGTCCTTGTGCAGAAAGCCCGACTGCTGGGAGAAGCTGGCTTTGCCTCGTTGCCTCACTGTGCCAGCAGCACCTGGGGCGTTGAAGCCTTGCGCTGCTGGGTGCCTCGTCCTCGGTGTGTGTGTGGGGGGGATCCCTTTGCCCCGGTGTCTTGGCCTTGTTTTCTACACACCACCTGCGCCCTGTGTGCTTCTCAAGTCTTCTTTAGGCCCGGGGGCAGCAAGCTCTTCCATAGAGGGCCAGACAGCAAGTACTTTAGACCTGTGGGCCAGCAGGCAACATCGAGGACGTTATGTAGGTACGTAGATTACCATTTAAAAGTCAAACTTTAAAAAATGTAAATGCCATCGCCAGCTGTGATAAGCCAGGCAGCCGGCGGGCGTGGCTGGTATGACTGGCATGGGCCATTGTGGGTCAGGGTTGCCCCTTTCTGTGCCTTCACTGCCCCTCCTGGTCTACCTGCAGAGCCTCCTGAGTCCTTCCCATCTAAGAGCGGCTCCTTTCCAGTCAGTCCTGCGGAGCGACACCAGTAGTTTTGTTAAAATCTTTCTCCGTGAGGCCAAACCCGTGGCGCACTCGGGAGAGTGCGGCGCTGGGAGTGCAGCAGCGCTCCCGCCACAGGTTCGGATCCTATATAGGGATGACCGGTGTGCTCACTGGCTGAGTGCAGTGCGGACGGTCTCAAAGAGGACAAAAAAAAATCTTTCTCTGTATTTTCTGTGTTTAGCTTCTCCCTGTTGCCCTATGGGCTGTAGTAAAATGGAGTTTGGATGGAAGTGGACTTGGGTCGAATTGCACTTGTTAATTTGCTCCAGGTTGCACACCTCTCTGACTGCTGGCAGTGGCTGTGGGTGGGTGGATCTCTGCTCTTTTCCCTCTCTGGTCGCTCCTCCGTCTCTTGCAGGTCCCTCTCCGAGCACAGGGTGTTGGCAGTGCCCCGAGCCTCAGGCCTTGCACACATGTCACTGAGACCTTCTGGGGCGTACCTGGCACTCCTGCACGACCTCCACCTCCCACACTTGTCTCTCAGCTGCTTGTGTGGCATCTCTGTCTGGAAGTCTAACATCATCTCAAATTTAGCATGTCCCAAACTAAGACCCTCAGACCTGTTCATCCTGTACTTTCCCCTCTCAGTAAACGACAGTTCCAGTTGCACAGGCACAGACCTTGCAAACGTCCCCGACTCTCCTTTCCTCACATCCCACATCCAAACCCATCGGCAGATCCTGTCAGCTGTGCTTTCAGATTAGGATGCCCCATGTGACATCTCCCATCCCCTCTGGGGCCCCAGTTTGGTCCAAGCCTCCTGAGTAGACGTCTTATGTTCCCAGCAGCAGTGACTCCAGCGTGCTGCTCCAAACCCTCCAGTAGCTCCCGTGTCACGCAGAGACTAGCAGAGACTTCGCAGTGGCCCCAGCGCCTTTGTGAGCACCTCTCCAGCCCCTGCTGCACCCTGGAGCTGGCCGTCCCTGTCATCGGCTGACTCCATTCTGACCTCAGGGCCTCTGCTCATCTCCCAGATGGCCCTCACTTCCTTCAGTTCTGTGCTCAGACACCGCCTTGCTAGAGCAGGTGCTCCCACCGATAGCCACGTATGACATCCCCAGCCCCTCTCCCCACACCTGCTCTGTTAGTCTAGCACTGTGTGGGCACTGGCCTGTCCCTGTCTCGCCCAGCTGAGACTTTGGTCACCGCTGTGGCCCTGGCCCTCAGTAATGCTGGCAGAATGGAGGCACGAACTGAATAGTTTGCAGACACACTGGGTCAGAGCGCGAGGCAGTCCTCCAGCTGTCCCCGCCCGCCCCAGGCTTTTCCGGTCTCCACTGGGGCGTCTGAAGCTGTGCCCCTTCCTCATGCCCCTGCCCACCCTCACTAGCAAGGGCCTTGTTCTCCCCGTGCTGCTGTTGGCCATTGTCTGGACCCCTGCAGTGGGCAGTGGTGTCGTACTGATCGCTTCCAGGCCACGGGGACCCTCTGAATCCCCGCGTTGTTCTTAGCCCTCTAGAACATTTGTCCAGGCTACCACCGTTTTCTTGCGCGTTTATTTGTGGCTTGGCAAAGGCACATGGAGGGGGGCGTGGGCCGCACAGGTGCTTGCGAAGTGGCAGTTACCGTCCGCGTTGTTTCTGTGTTGGAAGACCCTAGAGCGGTGCAGCGTGCGACATTTGCTTCTCACCTGACTGGAGACGTTTGTCTCACATTCACTGTACCTGACAGCGAACTTTCTAGTTTCCGAATGAGCAGTTGGGTAATTAAAAAGACAAAAGTGTTATGTGCTCATGGAAAAGCTTCAAGCCAGTAAAAAGCTCAGGATGTCGCGCTCCAGAATGAAGAGATCAACTACTTTTACATCTTTTCTGAATCTTTGGAAATTACTGTTTCTTAACTTGTGCTTTTAGATATTAAGGAGTTAGATTTGTCAAAAAACCTGTTGTCATCATGGGACGAAGTGATACGCATTGCCGATCAGCTCAAGCACCTGGAAGTGCTGAACCTCAGGTACGAAGCCTCGGGGTGTCTAGTGCCACAACCGGGGAGCCCCCGTCTCTCCTCCGTCCCTCCTGGCGCCTGGGGCCTGCGGCGGGGGGCGTGTATGCAGCGAAGGCTGCCACCTGCGCCACGTTTCAAGGCAGGCAGGTTTGGGTTTCCTGGGTCTACCCAGGATTAACGTATGCATTAAGGGTGCATTGGTTATTATGGTCTTTCATTTCGGATGGTCACAGTAGGGGATTTACTAACAAGGGACGTGCTTTACTTTTAATCAGGGTGGGGATGAGCTAGGGTTAGGGTTAGGAAGGTCTTCAGGTTTCTTGGAAGCCTGACCACGGAAGATGGGACGTTGGGGGAGGCGATATTGAACTGGGGAGTAGGAGAGGGGAGGTGATATTATTTAAAATGCTCATGTATTTGGAAGCTTCTAGCATTTAATTGCTGTAGGAATGAGTAATTTCATAGGGATACTGTTTCTTGTTTTTCTTTTTGTGGCTGCCAGTACAGGGAGTGAACCCTGGAGTTTATTCACTTTTGAAAAGGATTTTCCACTAATCTCCCTGTTTTACTAATGTCACAGTTTTCTAGGCCTTCCTGAATATTTGATTAGTTTTAATCTCAGACCCTACATTTCCAAGGGCTCAGCCAGGCTTCCGCTTTCATACTTGAACCAATGTTACGTGTGCAGATGAGTCGTACCTGGCCAGGGCAGGTAGAGAACAGCAGGGAGTCAGGCCTGCACCCGTTGTGCTCCTGGATAGAGCATATGGCTGGTGGCACATGGCGTCTCCTCTGGAAATGTGGGCCGATGTTTCATGCTTTCATCTTTCAAAGTGACTGTCCTGGTTGAGTCTTTTCTGAGATTAGGCCCTCTAGAGAGACCTTAACAGGCAGTGATTTATTTCACCCACCCTTATAGCAAAAGGGCAGACTGTGTTTACAGAAGCAAAGTCCTAGCCCTATTCCAGCATGTCAGGAAGACTCTTGAGAACGCGCTTCACTCTGCGTTGTCCAGAGCCGCGTTTGTTTTTTTTTAAAAGATGACTGGTAAGGGGATCTTAACCCTTGACTTGGTGTTGTCAGCACCACGCTCAGCCAGTGAGCAAACCGGCCATCCCTATATGGGATCTGAACCCGGGGCCTCGGCGTTATCAGCACCGCACTCTCCCGAGTGAGCCACGGGCCGGTCCAGAGCTGCGCTTTGTGAATCTGGCAGCCAACCATGAGCCTAAGGTTCACGCGGCTGCCATAACCCTCTGGAAACATCTCTGCACGTCACATACGAAAAAGTTGTATGTTGTAAATATTAAAAATTAAGTAGTCGTGATTCTCTGTTTTTAATAGAATTTCATTTTAAGTTTAAAATAAGCCAAACCCCTCAGATTAAATCCCAAATTGTTGCTTTCAGTGACTGATTCAGTTGGGTCTACTCTGTAGCAGTAAGTACATTGTATCTTCTTTTTCTACGCAGTGAAAATAAACTAAAATTTCCCTCAGTTTCACCATCTGCGCCGGGAACGTTTTCTGCACTGAAGGTTTTAGTCCTTAATCGAACAGGAATAACATGGGCTGAGGTAATCATATTTCTTTGGTTAATTACACAGTAATAAGCAATTTAAAAAGTTTGGTTTAATTGACAATTAAAGGACAACTGTGGTCTGGTTTTAGTCATCCTGTTACGCAAATGATAGGATTCTTTAAACTGCCTCACAGGAAGGGGTTAAGAAAATCATTTTAGTGAAGTAGAATTTTATATCTAGGAATGCATATTCTCTCTCAGCCCATTTCGATTTGTTCTGGTGTCTTTATAAACAGTGGCACTCTGTAGTGGCAGGCAGTAAATATGTGCTGAGCTTTTAAAAGTCACAGCGTTAGCTGTCAGTACTGAGATTTTAGCTCACTGAGTTTTCCTGCAAGTTTTTTTTGGTTTTTTTTAGGGCAAAAACCAAGCATCAGAAAGTTTCTCACAGCCTTTTCTCGTTTGAAGTTCAGGTCCTAGAATCCACTGTTCATTGTATACAACTGGGCTTAAAAGTGGACACATGGGTCCTTGGCATAGCAGCTCTGGGAACTTATATCTGGCACTACAGGTTGAGAATCCCTAATCCGAAAATCCAGAATCCGAAACTTTTTGAGCACCAGCAAGATGCTCAAAGGAAATGCTCATTGGAGCATTTCAGATTTTGGATTTTCAGAGTAGGGATGCTTAATTGGTATGTATTCTGCAAATATTCCAAAATCTAAAAAAAAAAATCTGACATCCAATACACTTCTGCTCCCAAGCATTTCAGATAAGGGGTACCCAAGCTGTACTGTTTCGTCAGGGGGTTATTGACTTCACACGCCCAGCATAATTGCACTTTCAAACCGGGCACATACAAGGCTTGCTGGCTTGTTGCTCCCCTGTGACATGCGCAGAGGCAGCTTGGTGAGGGACAAGGCCTTTAGCTTGTGTACCTCATGTGCTGTGCCATGGAACCCTTTCCTAGAGCTCCTTCATTGTAAGGTTCTCCCCCACCCCAGGTGTGGATCCAGCCTGAGGACAGAAGGACACGTAGACATTCAGGGGGTAGGGCAGTGAAGTTCAAATGAGAATTTAGGGATAACTGCTGAGAAGTTTTGTCTGATTAGTAAATTCTTTACAAACCTGGATCAGCATCTACAACTGAGGCCGGTCTCCTGCCTTTGGTTAGCAAACTCCATCAAAGAGTAAGAGGTGTCCCGTCAGCACCTCCAGTTCCATTTTGTGACTGCCTCAGCTGAAGCCACACAGCGACACGTACCTTGCTGGGTAACGGCACGTGCTCCTGTGGCATCAAAACACGGCCCTTCAGTGTTTGATCACCACCCTTCCGGGCCTGATACAGTCTTTAGGAGGTGACCCCGAGGCACTTTATTCCTGAAACAGTAACTAAACTGGATTCCTGTGGACATTATAGTAACACATGGGAAGAAACGGCTAATAGAGGCCACTTAACCCTGACCTGCGTTCCCTGCCAGGTGCTCCGCTGTGCTGCTGGCTGGCCAGTCCTCGAGGAGCTCCACCTGGAGTCTAACAATATTTCCATTTCAGAAAGGTAACTAGGGCTTGCTGCCACCTGTCACAGTTCAGTCATTTTGAATAAATGTCTTGATTATATCTAATGTTATTTTTTTGGAAGGATTTGTAAATAAGAATTTAAAAAATACCTATTATTCATGGGCTTCACAAACTGGAATGTCACCTAAAACTTCACTGATGGGTTTTAACTGAGGGAAACTCATCAGAGTGAAGTCTGGAATTCATTTGTGAAGACATGAATTTTGTCAGTTTTGCATAAATATATTTCATTTGCTGTTTCTAAATGAAAGTTCTGGAGGATATGCTGAAAGGAATAAGTAATGCATTTTTAATTAGCATTATCTATTATATGTAAAAGCTTGTTGCTTAAGTGAATGTGTCCTCGCTTTACTTCCCTCCTTTGTTAATATCACTAAATTACTACGTAAAAACTTAAGCGTGGGAAAATTTATAACAAATTCTCAGAGGATTCAAGTTAATAAAGTTTTATTGTACAGATTGGTTTCATTTATTATACAGGCAAATGCAGGCATTTTTAAATTAAACTTTTCATTTTGAGATAATGCAGTTAGAAGAAATAATACACAGAGATCACCCGTACCCGTTCCCAGTTTCCCCCACTCATAACAAGTTGCAGAACTTTGGTGCAATTTCGCCAGCAGGATTCTGACACCGAGGGTCAGGCACTTTTCCATCACCACGAGGGTCCCTCAGTTTGCCCCTTTATACTCATATCCACTTGCCTCCCACCCCCAGCCCTCTGTCACACCAGTGTATTTTAAGGCTGTATCTTTGAAATCAATTAAAAGATTAATTTATGTTGAAAAAATTTTATTTTATATACAGGCCAACTGATGTCCTACAGACGGTCAAGTTATTAGATCTTTCCTCTAATAAACTAATTGATGAAAATCAGCTGTTCCTGATAGCATATCTGCCCAGGTAATTTTCTCCTAAAATTCATACTATAGTTGTACTTTGTAGCGCATGAATGTTTGTATGCATTATGTGAGGGTACTTCAAAAAGTTCGTGGAAAAGATGGAAGTAAAAGATAATATGAATCTTTCCATGAATTTTTTTTTTTTTTTCCTTTTTGTCTTTTTTCGTGACCGGCAACGGA